GCTAAGGATCTTACTAATTGGCATATCAAAGACAGCCCAATCCGATACCTAGTGAAGTATCATAATCGAGTCTAGGGGTCAGGTGTAACTTTCTAGTTTTGCCCATCAATCTCCAAGGTTTAGGGCAATGCTGGAAATCTGGTCCGGTTCAAATATTCAATTAATCCTACACTGCATGTACCTCGGGTCTCACCCTGGTGGCAGAGACAGGCCACCCCAACCGACTTGGCGGAACATCAGTGTCAGCCTTGGCAAGATAAATCTCCGCAGACTTATCCAACGGCTATGAACGTTCTAAACTAATACGAGTTTCATTAGTGTCCAGTTTAAGGGTATTACACAGAAACACACCACATAACATGAATCAAATATGCACTTTATAAATGTCATAAGTACATCAAACTAATTGGAGCTAAGGGCATACAAAATTGTCTAACAAAAGCTTCAGATTTGAAGTTCAAACGAGAGATTGAGCTAAGAGGTGTGAGCTTTGGCTTCCCCTCTTTTCCTTTAATGAGGATGTATCAAATAGTGGAAAATGGAAAGGGACAAAAAAAGGTTTAGTTTTAGGTTTTAAACCTTTCCTAAATTATAGTTTTAGACATACATAATACTTTTATTACATGTAAAATATAATAATCAATATAGAAAATTAAAACCAGAACCAACCCATTGGAGTGATTCATAGAACCAAAACTGTTATAAATTGTTTAAACAATTTAGATCTATCGGGTAGACCCGACCCATTGACAAGCCTAGTTGGTTCCAAGAATTTGGAACCAGACCCTACCCGGTAACAAATTGGATATGGTGGGTTCAAGGTTGGCTTTTAAGGTTAGATCCATTTGGTTCTAAGTAGAACTTGCCTACTTGTTCATCCCTAATTACTAGGGTTATTTTTGGAATACAAACCTTAGACTAATGCCTCTTCATATTTTTGGCTCGTCTTAAAAGGTCATGTAAGCCATTCCTATGTGGAAATACAAATGGTTTTTGACAGAGGTTCAATTAAATAAAATATAACAAACTATAAGGGGTATTTTAGTAAATATACAACTAGATGGTGGGTTTTTCTAATGGTGTTTGGTGACAGCTAAATGCTTTTTCTAAATAGAATGCTATGTGTAGAGTTCCTATTTATTGTTTCTTGTTTGCCTAGTTGTGGGCCTTCTAGCACCAGCAACCTTCAAGCTAAAGTTATATTAGCTACCAACACATGGTAACCCATGTGTGCTACTCAAAAGAGCTTGATTGAGTTTTAAGTTTCATACTTGAACTCAATTTGAGCAAATACTTGTGAGCTACTCAAGCTCGACTCGGATTGAGTTAATTATAAATTAATTGCTATTAAAAATTATAAATAAATTAATATTTAAAATATTATAAATAAAAAAATATATTATACAACTTGATTATAAATTTATTTATTTATATTACAAGTAAAATAATATCAAAAATTAATATTTACTTATATCATAAATAAAAATATATTGAAAATAATATTTTATTAGAAGCTTGATTAGGCTTACGAGCTATTCATGCAGGGTGTTGTGAAGCTCGAACTTGGATAGACTAACTACTCGACTCGATAATCTTCAAACCGAGTTCAAGTATTTAGCTAGTCGAGCCCAAGTAGCTTGTGAAATGGCTCGGTTCGCTTACACCCCTACCATGTCCTTTGCCAAATGCCACACATTGGTCAATTTCTAACCAATAGAGCCTCACCTAAGAGATGGAAAATTACTTTTAGAGGTGTCTTGACATCTAATGATCTTTTGCTCTAAATATTGCTGTTGGTGGGGGAAAACACATTAAATTTTAGTGTTTTTTTCTTTGCTTTCTTTTGTATCTATACTATCCAAACTATTGAATCATATCTATGATCTTCTTTCTCCTCCCTTAGTTTCTTAATCCACAAAGTAGATTAATGTCCCTATGGAACTTTTGATTTTCTGAATATTGGTGATTGTAAAAACATCAATAGCAAGAAAAGCCGATTCAAAGGGGCCAATAAAGAAAATTTACAAGAGGTACTTTAGGCAGTTTAAAATTAAATTAAAGAATGCCATATTGTTTCACAGTTTTTGGTAGAAAATTATCAAACAAAAGTGTCATCTTCATGACAAGTGTATAACTGCGTCATATAAATGTTGCTTCGACATACTTTATAGGTGACCCTTGCTCCATTTGATTTTTCATGCAACATTGTCTGTTCTGTTAGATTGTATTTTGGATACATATTATATGAAGGGTGTGATGCACAAAATGATGTTAAAAGAGAGTGATTTGATTCAATTTCCTAATAAAAAAATAAACTGAGTAGATTGTGGTTGATTTTAAATAACCCCACGTCTGATGCTTTTTTATTTAAAAAATTCAAGAACACATGGAAATTTTTGAAGGGATGGAGAAGCAAAGAGGGGGGGGGGGGTTAGGCCATTTCATTATACATACATACATATACACATACATATAAATTGGAGTGGCAAAACAGAATTCATGTATTGAACCCTATATAGTTGGGATAAGTCTTGGATAACAATGATGTTATGACTTATCAAATTGAGTTTATTTAAGTACAAGTGAATATATTTATTTAAGTACAAGCAACCATAGAAAATACTTTGTCTATAAGGGGAAAAGGGGTAAACTAATCAAAGTAGCAATGAGGATCTTACTTTTTAGCATTTATTATAAAGGCCCTGTTCACTTTTTGGGAAGTTACTTACCTAGGTAAATGCATTTATCCAAATAAGCGTTTTATGGGAAATACTTACCTAAGTAAATGTATTTGCCCATGTTTTTTTATTTCACAGGTAAATAAGACAATGACCATTTTAACCATAAAAATCCATTAATAAAAGGGGCAATTTTGCCCCACCCAAGTGTTGGAAACTTTCCCCTAGGTGGGAAAGTTTGCTTCACCCTTGACTGTCTCCTAGCTAATGGTTAGGTTCAATGGGCGAATCAATTTGCTTCACCCCTAATTTGCCTACACCCTCTAATAGATCTAGTACATATTTCATTTGGAAAATAAAAATGTCCTTTTGAGAATGAGCGACTTTAATCCCAATGAAATAACGTAAGGGGCATAGATCTTTCACCTTGAATTGAGTGGCTAAGAACTTTTTTACCTTCTGTATTTTAGTCTTTTAGTCTCCTGTGATCACTATCATCAATATACACAATTAAATCTGCAATTTTTTCTTCACCTTTATTCACAAACAAAGTATGATATGACTGGCATTGTTTGAACCCCATCTGTTGTACAACTAAGTGCAACTTACTAAACTAGGCCCAAGGAGATTGTTTCAACCCTTATAATGATTTTTTTTTTTTACTTGCACACTTTCTGCTCACTACCTTTGGCACAAAAACCTCGAGGTGGAGTCATGTAAACCTCCTCCTCTAGGTAACCATTCAAGAATGCAATTTTAAAATCCAACTGGTAAAGTTCTCAATCAAGAATAGTAGCCAATGAAAGGAGGATTCTGATAGAATTCGTCTTGGCTACTAAAGCAAATGTCTTTGCATAATTTATTCCATATACCTGTGTAAACCCTTTGGCCACCAATTTGGCTTTGTATCTTTCTATCGTACCACTAATATCAAGAGATTCAAGCATATCAATGGGAACAAGTGTACCTGACTGATGAGGAGGATCTACCTTTGGAGAGTCTAATGATGTTGGTTGCATAGTTTCAGGTTCCACAGATCTTGAACTCTACTAGCTCTTATGATAGTGAAGAAAAACATAAAATGGTGGAGGATCAGGAAGATGATGTAATTGAGTCTGAGCCTTTGTGTGTTTCTCCTCCTCAACCCTACTCTCCCCCTGAGGAAAAATTGAGAAAAAAGGTTGACTCTCAAAGAATGATACGTCTATAGAAACATAGTACTTATGTGAGACAGAACCGTAGCATCGGTATCCCTTTTGAGATAAAGCGTAGCCAAGAAAAGCACAAGGAATGGCACAATGATTGAACTTATCGTAAGGGGCAAGTCATGAACAAAGGAACAACACCCAAAGATACACATTGGAATAGGGGACAAAGGAGTCGTTGGAAACAAAAGTTGGTGTGGGKYCTTATACTCTAGTAATCGAGATGGCATACAGTTGATGATGCATCACACATAACAACATCTACCCAAAATGTTTTAGACCATTCATATGGAATAATAAACCATGAGCTATTTTGAGAAGGTGACGATTTTTATTTTTAGTGACACCGCTTTGCTAGGGTGTTCTAGCACAAGAGCTCTGATGAAGAGATTCACACGAAGCAAAGAACTCCGTGAGATCATATGGAAGTACTCCTTTGCACTGTCTGATTGGAAAATATGGATCTTAGTTTGGAATTGAATAAAAATCATGCGTTAAAAATCTTTCACAATTTTTGACACTTCATCTCTAGATCGTATATGATAAACTCATGTATATTTAGAGTAGTCATCAATCAAAGTAATGAAATACTTATATCTAGTATCAGATGGTAGAGTAACAGGGCCCCAAAYATCATAATAGACAATATGAAACGGAAATAATTTTTGTTCTTTATGTTCTAACTTCTACGGTTGTGTTTTTTGGTGAAACATTTCTTTGTTGAATAAAGAGGCTTGGATGTTGTAAATTTAGGGTTTGAATGACAGTTGGAATGATTAGGATCAAGTGTTTCATTTATGGATGCGATTTTAAGTTTATAATATTTGTTTGTTGAATTGGGTTCAATCGTTGAACATTTACGGTTTGAATGTGTAGTTCTAACAATGGGGCTCAACTATTTGGGATGTGTAATGGGTTTTTATGTTTGGGTGTTTGCATTTAATGGTTCTAATAGTTGATGTGTTTAAATGTATACCATCTCCAATGATTTATTGGTTAATGTTTACAAGTTACAATGATATATTGGTTTATGTGAATCAGTATTGTATGTTTTAATGACTAATTGGTTCTATTGATTTATTAGTTCTAATGCTTTATCATTTCTATTGATTTTCAGTTCTAATGATGTATATCATTCACAATGATTTGTTAATTTCATAGCTGTATCAGTTCTGGTGAGTTATCACTTATAATTATTTATTAGTTCTAATGCCTAATTGGTTATATTTTATCAGTTCAAATGTTTTATCATTTATGGGGATTTTTCATTTCCAATGATGTTTCATGAACACTGATTTTTCAATTACACAATGTAGGTACATAGTGGTCGTTAAGACCATCAAAGTACAGAGAGTGTCAAATTAACGCTATATGGACGCCTATAATGAATCTATAATCTATCGCACATCTGTAATGAACTCATACCTGGGATAAGTCATGATGAACTTCGACTAGCACAAATCTACGATAAAGCTAAAACATGCACGGGTTTGCAATGAACCCCGAACATGCGTGGATTTGCGATGAACCCCAAACATACGYGGAATTACGATGAACCTGACACCATTATAGAGCTACGGAATCACAATAGACTGGGAATAAATGTCGGTTATACGTGTGTCTTTGAATTACATATGCGAGTTTAATGAAAGTACATCCGCTAAATGATGATGTCACTCACACCACGTTAGTATAATAGGATCGCATATGGAGAGAATTCAGATGGGATATGATTTTCTAATAATGAACCCTTAATAGTCAAACAAAAGGAAATATCTCATTTCCTAAGAAAAAAGATCATCTTTTCTAAGAGGAAAGAACTTTTTCCTTAATAACCTTAACTTTTTCTCTATAGAAAGGAGAAGGCAATTGTTATCTCGGGGAAAATAATTTTGACTTGGGATTTATTACAAAGGTGACAAGTCCCTCCTAGGGGTGTTCACGGGTCGGGTTGGGTGGTTTATTGGGGTTTTCCCAACTGACCCGACCTGGTCGGGTTACTTGAGGTGGAAACCGAAACCGACCCACTGATAGGCCAAACCGACCTAGTYGGTTTGAGTCGGGTTGGGTCAGTTTCGGTCGATTTTGGTTTTGCTCCTGTACAAAATGACACCTAATTGAATTCTAATTGTAATTGCCTAATATGTTGCCTATTTGGTGTAAAAGACTATAGAAAATTAGAAACTATGATAAATTGTCTATTCTAATTGTAATTGCCTAATGGGCCTTCTAGTTCTAGTAGAAGACTAGTTATAGTTAAGTAGGAAACTACTCAAACTATAAACTATCGAATTAGTTCGGTTCGGGTCGGGTTGGTTTCGATTTTCACACAATAAAATCGAAACCGATCTAATATATCGATTTATATATTTGCTCAACCCGAAACCGACCGATACTGATGAAAATCTGGTCGACTCGGGTTGGATCGGTCTGGGTTGGTCGGTTGGACATTCTTACGAACAGCATCCTCTCTCTTTCCCTATCACATTCTCCGCACTTAACAAGCTGCTAACAACCATAACCTCCCCAATGGTGAAAGTGTTAGAATYTATGGTTATGCCTCTGTTCTCCGGGGAAGAAAAAGGCATTAAAACGACTTTTCAAATTTAGTCATCGGATTTGAGATCCCCGATTTAATATAAAAAATCGAGCGGCTTTGCATCGATAAGAAGAGGCGCTATTCACTGAGTTTTTCTCCTTCGACCGAATAGAATGGCGCAGTAACGAGGATTCACGGCAGCAGAACACCGCCCCACTACTACAACTTTCCCCAGCGCCACTACAGTCTCTCATTTTCACCCTCTCTCCGTCTTTCCCTCTCTTCTCATTCCCTGTTCGTCCTTTTTTCTTGTCACCTAAGTCACAGTTCACCAGTGTTCACCGTTCGAACAGAGCAAATTGTTGCAACCACCGAAGGTTCATCAGTAGGGAAAACTTACAATCGGAAGTTCATTTTGCCTGTGCGAATCATTTGATCGTGCTTCAATGAAGCTCTTGCTTCTTGAAGACATGCAATTGTAAATCTATTTTGTCTGAGATTTCTCCTGTTTCCTTCTTCCTTACTAGTCGAACAGGACCGAACGCATCTTGCTCGATGTGAAGCAAACCAGTTCGTAATGGATCGTTTCAGGCCACAATTCGATTTTGGTTCAGAAGGCATTGGATTCGCACCATGTGTTATCATAGTTAAAGCTGGAGAGGGTGGAAATGGCGAGCACAACAGTTGATAAAGAGACACAGGCCGGAGCAAAAAAGGAGGTTGTTTCGGTAGAATTACCAGCACCTCCGGGTTGGAAGAAAAAGGTCTTTCTCTCGTTTTCTCTCTACTCTTACAAGGCTTTGCAACTTCAGTTCTGCTCGAATTACTTTGTTCTTGTGCTTTAATTTGTGTTTCAATATTATATTATCTATGCGTCTTTTGACTTCTTTAACTTTTCGGTGTTTTTGTTGTAGAACTTGCGCCAAGTAGTTGTAATTTCTAGTTAGGGCATATCGCAGAATTCTTTTCTTGTTTATTTTTCCCTTATAGAACTTTTGCTCCTCAATTTTTTGTGTTTCCGGATTTTTCTGGTTATTTTGATTAAATGTATTATGGAAATACTCGAATGGTAATTGTTTGGTCGTTAGGGTTTCTGCAATTGTCTCAACTTTCTGGAAGGAAGTTGGATCTCTGTGAAACTTTGTTGTCTTCTTGTTTCCGGCTAATTGTCTCCTCTGTTTGAAATGTGAATGTGGTGAAGAATTGGGAGAATTATGGTTTCTGGAGTTAGTCTTAGAGTCAAATTTACTATGTCGAAGGGAATTAATTATAGTTTCTGAAGTGATCAATTCTTAGTTTCTTTTCTATTTTCTTGGTTATGCGCATATTCCACCCTCCTGGTACAAATTTCTTGAATTAGGATGGCTATGATTGTCATATTATATAAAATGGTTCAACTTTAGTTTCTCAGTTGCAAGCCTTCTTTTCCTTTTGACATTTGCTACTTATTTTATGATCCTAACAACAATAGTCATGCTTTAGCTTTTCAGTTCATCTATTTCAATTTTTTGTAGTTCTGGTGCCGAGTTATTATGTGAATTTTGCTGATTTTTTTGTGTGGTTTTAGAGTATATTACACACCTTTGGCCTTCATTTAAGGGATGCTTGTTTATGTCTTTGATTGTTATAATTGTGTTGCTTACTTATATCATATTGGCTATCTGGGGATCTACTGCATAAGTGATACAAAAATGGGGTTTATGTAATTATTTTTGTTTTGTTGGTTTTCTTTAGGGTTGTCTAAATGTGATTGTGTGGGTACATCTTTGAGATCAATTTCTATCAATCTAATTTTGTTGATAATATTGTTTCGTCGTTTCAGTTCCTTCCCCCAGGCTAACTTGTGTTAGGATGGTATGCAAAAATGTGTGTAGACATGTCACATGTATCTTCAGAAAATAAAATGTATGATTATGCCCTTTAGCAACGGAAGTGGAAACTGTATTTTTAGTGGACTGGATTCCTGGATCTGTATACCCGTATGGGAAACATTAAAAAATAAAGTGGACAACTTTGCATGTGACTTCCCCTCTGGAGGTATACCTGTGTTCTCCTTGAAATTGCACTGCCACTTTATTGGTAATATGGTTCAATTTTCGACACTCAACATTTGATTAGTTCATGTGAATTAGTTTCCAATAATTCACTTGGCATTGATGCATTTTGGAGTGGGAAAATTTTGGCAATAAGGTAAAAGCAACCTTTAGCCCACACAGCACTACCACCATGATGAACCCTCAAGAAAATTGATTAAAAACTTACTTTTGATGGTCTGATGGCTTGATTTGCAATTTCTTTCAAATTTGTCAATATTTTCCATAAAATTCCCCTTTTAAGTTTGTATTGAAATATCTATCAAAGAGATCTTCGGAGTTACATAGTTTCAATTCAACAATATATACATGTGATATTTTCTGCTAAAATGTTCCATATGTTAATAATTTGGGATGTATCATAGAAAAATTAATAACAGAGCTGAGGATTTACATTAGAATATTACTGAATTGTGTAGAGATGAGAGCTATTTTGAACAATACTACAATTTTATGGATATTATATTTTATTTTGATATATCCTATTATTGGTCATTATTAACGAGTACTTTGTAATGTAAGACTTCCATACTCGTCAATATTTTAGATTTTAATATGTTCTTAACATTTTATAGAGTTATATAGAAAAGGTTTAACCATCCTTAATACCTTCTCCCCAAACTGAAAAGTTCTGCACCTTGGAGAAATTTTCTACAAAACTAAACTTTTTTAAGGATTGGGATTTCTCTCTTAAGTGGACTTTTGCACCTTTCTTGGTAGGTAGTTGAGGAAGCCTAAGGTTTGGGAGGGTTGACTTTAGTTGAGCACCCAAAGGGAAGGCATTCAAAATTTTGCTTCTTGGGTTAGAAATTTGATATTTGCTTCCTAGAAAACACGCTTAAGAATGTCTTATGAAATATAAAAGGTTGATGGTTGGTGCTTGTATTGGATGTTTTAGAGAAATTTGAATATCAAAGCTATCAAATGGTAGGAACCCAAAGAAATTTCGCCTCAGTATTTTATGAAGAATACAATGGGTATTAATAGGGTAACAGGTGTGTCTTGAACAAACATCAGAGAAACAAATCTAGGTTTAATAGTGTTCAATATATTGATATAATTTAAACATGCACAAATGAAGGTCGTTTACATTAGATTTGACCCCAGAAGACTTGCCCCTTGTTTTACCAATGAGTTGTCCAAGTAATTAGCTGATCTATACACCCACTTGAAGGTCGTTTGCAATTATCCAGTCATACACTTTAATTCCTTTATGATGCTCCTAATCTTCCATGGCTCTTTTTGCCATAATGTCTACATTAACTTTTGCTATCATTTTGTATTACTCTTCTTTATTGGAGGTTGATGTTTTGAAATACCAGTGCTTTGTTATTTTAAAAGGTAATAGTTGTTAGATAAGGATCTTATACTACAAGAGCAATTTTTTAATTCTAACAGGTCAACTTTGGCTGGCTTATTAGCCTTAGCTAAAGTAGTTGCTTCTCACCAAAGTTTAGTATATTGAACTACTCCTAAGGTAGTAGTAGCTCACCAGATTCCATGGCAAAAGGCTTCCTTGAAGGTTTGTTTTAAGCATGGTTTTCAAAACCGGACCGGACTGGAAAAATCGGGAACCAGTTACCTGATTGGTTCCGCTTTTCCCCAAAACCGTTGATTTTGGTCAGCAAACTGCTGAACCGGCCGATTAACCATTCAAACCGTTTGAACGGTTTTGACCAATTTTCAGCTTTTTAATTTTTTTTTTTATTTTTTTGTCAGAATGGGCCAGCTGTTCGGATCGAACAGTCGGACCATTCAAACTGATAATCGGACCCCTGACMGGTTCGGTTTTAAAAACCATGGTTTTACCTGCAGGATGAGGTCAAAGTTAAAGTCAACCATTTAACCAGTGGGTTCCACATATTGGCTCACCACAGCCTATGGAGCTTAGGATTTAAATTTAATGTTGATTAAGCCAGTAGTTCGTGAGTTAAGGTCAATGCTTTGTTGAATTTAGAATTGGATAGTTTCTTAATTCTTGTAACTTTCTAATTCATAGAGTTAGAAGGTCAATAAAAGTCTGTTAAGCTTGAGTCCATAGATTTTGTATCTTTTATTTTAGTGCCTTACTTTTATTAGGATTAGGATTATATATATTGCACCAATATACTCATTCTGTTCAGAGTTTACTGCTTTAGTAATGAGAAGCTTCTTTTTTCCTCAATAGCATATTGCTATTGTGTGGTTGTTCTACTCTTTTCTGCTTCATTTCTTGAAGACTTGATTACAAATACATATGTATCTATTTACATGGCATAAGGTCCAAACATCCAATTGAGGTATTATGAAGTTGATAAAATTAAGCATTGTTTAGGGGATGTTGTATTTTTTAAATGTTCAATAATGGCATTAATTCAAAATTCAGATCCAGATCCACTAGTGAATTAAGTTGAGCTTAGATCTCTGATGGTCCATTACTTTTAGAAAGGCAAATCCCTGGAGTGTTGAAGAATAAATAGTAAATCTTATTGACCAGTTTCAAGTATCCATTGGCAAGAAGTAGTTACAGTGGAAATTGTTTCCGGGTTAAAGGTGAACTTAGCAAAAAGTGAAATGACAGCAGTTGGGGAAGTTTCTAACATCCAGAATTTAGCTGATCTATTGGGCTGCAAAGTAGGACTTCTGCCCACAAGCTACTTGGGGACTGCCTTTGGGTGCCACGTGCACATCAAAATCCATTTGGAACCCATTTTTGGAGAGAATGGATAAAAAACTGGCCACATGGAAGGCTAGGTATCTTTCCAAGGAGGGAAGGTAATTCTGATAAAGAGTGTTCTAGCCAGCCTGCCTACCTTGGAGGTGGTGAAGGCATTAGAATAAAAGATGAGAGATTTTCTGTGGATCGGTTGGAAAGACTCACATTAGTATCATCTATTGAAGTAGGGGCAAATATGTAAACCCCACTGAAAAGGCGGCTTGGGGATAAGAGATCTAAAATCCTTCATCAGATTGGACTGGACCTAGCCATTTGTAATGGACTCATACTGGATTAGGTTTGGTTGGACCAACATCCGGTCCATTGACAGCCCTGGACCCATTTATAATTCGATTGGTTTTGGATATAAATAATCTGATCCAATTTGACAGGGCATAGTTGAATATATTTGCTAATATGTATAGTAGATAAAGATTTACTAACACGATAGCGTCCATTCTTTGGGTGTTTTGTTTTAGAGGACACTTTTATTTAACCTTATTAAGGATATCTTTCTTTTACCATATTTGAAATGGATCTAATATATTAGATGCGTAACCAAATTGAACTTTAACATTACCCATTTCTAATCACTAGCTCTAGTACTCGTATGCCCACTAATGACCTAGCTGAACTGTGTTTTTTAGTTGGGTCAAAGCACGCTATTTGAAAACGGTATTTTAGGTTAAACAGCTAATTTTTAAAGCACGTTTTTATTACAAGACATTATTCCATCCATTATTTCCAAAAAAACACGCTTTCAATGTCATTTTCAAAGATATGTAAAATATGTTCTCATCTAGCTTCGAAATTTTATCGTTGCTACTAAGAAAACATGGTTTTTCTTTCCGGTAAAAAAAGGCCATGATGCTGCATGCTTCATGTGAAGGCTTTGTTCTGACAGGTGCAATCTCACATACCCTGGTCTGCTAGGATGTTGCATGCTCTATGTGAAGGCCCTGTTCTGGTAGGTGCGCTCTCACATACCTTGGTCTGCTAGGATGTTGCATGCTCCATGCGAAGGCCCTGTTCTGACAGATGCGCTCTCACATACACCGGTCTGTCAGGATGCCACATGCTCCATGCGAAGGCCCTGTTCCGATAGGTGTGATCTTACATACCCTGGTCCGCCAGGATGCCACATGCTCCATGCAAAAGCCCTATTCCGGCAGGTGCGCTCTCACATACCTTGGTCTGCCAAGATGGTGCATGCTCAATGCGAAAACCCTATTCTGGCAGGTGCGATTTCACATACCCTGGTCCGCTAGGATGCCACATGCTCCATGCGAAGGCCTTGTTTTGGTAGGTGTGATCTCACATACCCTGGTCTGCTAGGATGCCGCATGGTTCATGAGAAGGCCCTGTTTCGGCAGGTGTGCTCTCATATACCCTGGTTCGCCAGGATGCCGCGCCTTGTTCCGACAGGTGCAATCTCACATACCCTGGTCCGTTAGGATGTCGCATGCTCCATGCGAAGGCCCTGTTCCGGTAAGTGCGCTCTCACATACCCTGGTCCGCCTAGGATACCGCATGTTCCATGCGAAGGCCCTATTTCGGCAGGTGCACTCTTACATACCCTGGTCTGCCCAGGATGCCGCATGCTCCATGCGAAGGCCCTATTTCGGCAGGTGCGCTGCTACATACCCTGGTCCACTCAGGATGCCGTGTGCTCTATGCAAAGGCCCTAGCAACCCATGAAGGCCTTGACAACCCCAGRCGCACTTAGATTCTCCGGCAACCCCGAAAAGGCCTTGGCAACCCTAGGCACGCTCATATTACCTAGCAACCCCAGGCTTGCGCTTAGATTCCCTAGCAACCCCAAGAAGGCCTTAGCAACCCAAGCGCGCTCACACATTCCCTGACAAACCTAAGGAGGCTTTGGCAACATTAAGTATAATCTTTCTCCAACCTATAAACGCAAATTCTTTACCTACTTGTAAATGCAACGGTATAAGTAAAAACAAAGTCAAGCCATCTCACGCTTATATATGATGCTTTGTTAGGAGCAAACGTCTTATTCCGACTATTAATATCTTACTTGCGCTAAAAAAGCTTAACTAGTTTTCTCAAGTGACGACCAAAACCTTACCATGGGTTCTAAAGCTCATAATTAACCCTTAGGGCTAGTTCACCCATGAAGGGCCTCACCTTCTTAAGGCACGATAACCCTCGATCCTTGTGTGGGTAGCAAAAGTGCATTTCCCTACAAAGTAATTCAAACTTCCCTTTCTATGAGTACGTTAATTATCAATTTATTTACATAACGTTATTTGGGATGACTCCTTCGCACCTGATGGTATCTCAGACGTTGGAATGACACTGTTTGTTTTTCTCTAATGATCTACGATAAAGTTTACTATGTCTATGCTAATACTTGATTGTGATAGAGTCCAACGGGTGCTTGACTCTAAAATACTTGAATTTTCGATGCGAAATCCCTTCCAATATCAATGGACACTTGCAACTTTCTTTCTTCTCAAAGACGTTTAATACTTGTGCTAACCCTCCAAACTAAGAGGCACACAATTTCCTTTTTCTATAGAAGTTCGCAATTAAAGGCTGATTATACTCGCAATGGTACTCGATTGCGATTAACCTCTAGAATAAGTACGAAAAGTACTTATTTGTGACAGGCTGTACAAAATGACCAACTTTAAATGATTTGATTACCATACTGATACAAGTTGCGATAAAAATTCACAGACCATGTGACTTCTAATCCGTATTACACACAACTTTGATTCAGACTATTTCCTACAAGCTAATATGCGATAAAGTTTTATTACAAAATCGAGAACTCTTGACAAATAATGAAGTTCTCTTAGAAGTCGTTGCGAAGGCTCTCTCATGTGGAGCTCTAATGGGAAAACTTTCCTCTACGTTTAAGTTCGCTATGCGCCAAGAACCCGAACATAATACACTAAAGCCGATAGCCCATTGTTACTTTGATAAAGGCACTAGCGCAAAATAAATCAAAGCACTTGCACATTGGCATAAGACAAAAATTTCATTATTCTTTTTATAAATATGATTTACAAAAGGAGTAACTATGGGTGTCCATATACAAGCCCAATCCTTCTTTATATCGATTATATTTTCTAAAGCCTTGCTCATGTGCCTCGAAGTCCATCAAATCCTTTATCTTTGCTTTGTATCTGACCACCACCTTTTGCTGGCGACCACACTCCTCCATGAGGACTTCCAGCTTCTTAGTAGCATTTGAGAAATTGGTCTTTATCGCTTTAAGGTGAAGGTCACACACCTAGCAAACCGCACTCAAGTATTTCTCGATAGAAGACATTCTATCAAAATATAGGGGGGTTGAACATTAAAGTAGCCAATTATTCATTTTCACTTATCTCTTGATGCAAATGACTTTTATTAAGAAACAGAGGGGGGGGGGGCTAAATTAAAGATAAGTATTGAGTTGTACCTTACAAAATGCCCCTATTATGTTTCTGTCACTTACACCTTCAAAAAACTTCGATGACCTAGAAAGCAAGTACGAGTTAACATGGCACCCTGTCAAAAAGACAGGGGGGCTGAATCACAATGAAAACTCTCGATTCCCATCTTAGAACATTACTAAGTCGAATACCACAATGCTTATTGACAAGTTCATACTTGTCAAGAAGCAGGGGGCTACCAAACATACCCAAATAATTTTTTTCCGCACGCAAAGCTTGTAGAGTATCTCATCAAGAATTGGAACAATTACTAGACCCAATAAGAAAACGTTATGCCACAATATCTACAAAATGGTTATTCATCGCCCCATCGTGAAACCCTGAAGCAAATACGATGACAAAAAATACTTATAAGCATGGGGGGCTAATGCAGGTACATAATGGTCGCTAAGACCATCAAAGTACTAAGGGTGTCAAACCAACGCTACATGGATGCCTGCAATGAATCTATAACCCATCGCACGTTTGCGATTGCGATGAACTCATACCCGGGACAGGTCGTGATGAACTTCGGCTAGTGCGAATCTGCGATAAATTTAAGACACGCACAGATTTGTGATGAACCCCGAACATGCATGGATTTGCGATGGGCCCTAAACATGCGCGAAGTTGCGATGAACCCGACACCATTATAGAACTGTTCACAATAGACCATGAATAAATGTCGGTTACACGTGCGCCTTTAAATTGCGCATGTGAGTTTAATGAAAGTATGCCTGCCAAACGATGACATCACCCGTGCTACGTCAGTATAATAGGGTCACAAACAGAGAGAATCCAAAAGGGATAAGATTATTTAATAATGAACCCTTAATATAGTCAAACAAAAGGAAATATCTCATTTCCTAATAAAAAAGATTATCTTTCCTAATAGGAAATAACTTCTTCTTTAATAACCTTAACTTTCTTTCTATAAAAGGGAGAGGGCAATTCTTCCCCAGGGGAGAACAATAATTTTGACATGGGGTTTCTCATAAAGGGGGCAACTCCATCCTCTCTTCCTCACGTCTTCTCTCTTTCCTTATCACACCTTCTCTAGACTTACTGAGACTAGATCACCTGTGAACCGCCATAACCTCTGAGTGGTAAAAACACACAATATCAATTCCAACGGTTTACCACTTCTACTGCTTTATTAGTTGTAGTATTTTATCAGGCCTAATACTTTATTAGTTTTAAATCTTCATTATTTCTAATGATTTATTAGTTATAATGAGATATCAACCCTAATGAATTATCAATCATAGTGCTGCTGTATCAATTGTAGGGATTTATCAATTATGTTGCTTTATCAGTTCTATTGTTTGATAGGTTATCTTGCTTTACCGACTCTACTGATTTATCACTTTGAATGGAGCTTCATTATTTCCAATGAATTGTTAGTTATTATGATTATACCAATCCTAATGATTTATCAATCCTAATGCTGTATCAGTTATAGTATTTAATCAGTCCTCTTGTTTGATCATTTCTAGTGTTTAATCAGATCTAATGCTTTAACAGCTCTACTAATTTATCATCTCTAATGACGTATCAGTTTTTCTGCTTTATCCAGTAATGGGTTTATTATTTGTCATATTTGTTGTTTATATAATGCTTATCAATCGTGAACGATTCGTGGGTTTATATGTATATCAGTTGGGATGCTTTTTCCCCGGTATGTTGTATTGCCGTGATTGTTGTGGGAGAGAGAGGGAGAGGGTGAAGGAGATGGATTGAGGGAGGAAATAAAGATAGTGACAAACAAGTGGTCTTTTTATGCGAAAGCTCATAATGTTTTTTTGATTGTCAAATCTTTCAAAGAAAGACTTGCCAAATGGCATTTTTAAGCTGTCTTTTAGATGACCAATTTTCTAATTTGATCAAGTTGATTTCGTTGGCCAAAGAGTCTGAATTTGCTCCTCACACAATCTCACAATGCATCCCGATGTACATTGAGAATATCTTCTATGCTTTGCATTGTTATTCATAGATAGATGTTCACAATACACGGAGGGATGGGACTGTAATTTCGGTGTATGGTGTGCTCATTGAACGGATCTGCTCTACGTTAGACGGGAAAGCAAAATAAGTTGACTACTCCTGCCTCTTTGACACGTGGACGTGGAGGTAATACGTGCGTATGGCTTACGAAGACGTCAAACACAAATGACAATATGTAAATAAGGGTGTTTTCGTCTTTAAATTTTTGTACTATCGTGTTTTGAAGCGTTCGCAAAAGATACGTACGTCTAACTAGCATTCCACTTCTGGAAATTGGAAAATATCCGCGCCGCGCGAATCAGGCGGGAAAAATAATAAGCAGAGTTTCTCCACTGCGAACTTTTCAACTTCAAGTTTGTTAGAGAGAGAGAGAGAGAGGGTCGGATCGTATGAAAAAGCCACCATACAGGTAGGTTTCATCCTCAGAACTCAGTCTCAGACATGTATTTGTTATATTTTTCCTTTAGGTTTGAGTTGCACGTCTAAGCTTCGTCTTTAATTCATAGGATCCGCTAGTTTTCACTTCTTTAAATACTTAATCCAAATTAAGGTTTCAGTATTGTTCTACTTCTTTAGACTTCAACGTCATTTGTATTAGTCTCTCTGTTCTGATACTGTAGTTTCTATTGGAATGTCGCTGTTTACATGTTTTTTTTTTTTATTTATACAACTGACATAGATTTCTGCAGTTTCCGGTTCCATGTTTTCTTTCCATGATTTACAGAAAATATTTATGTTGATGATGATGGAAATTGAATGTATCTGCAATGCTATATGGGTGATTATTTAGGATTTCGGTTCTTGAGGTACCAGCAGGAGTTGCTAAAGTTCAAGATTTTACGCATACATAAAACCGAGTTAGTTTTTGAGGGATTTGAGCTCGCATATAAAATGATCTAGCTGGGCCGTGCAGGGATAACGTTAGAGGAGACTTGCTATACGTTATATTAGTAAACCTGGGCAATTTTCCTCTATTTTTGGATAATGCTGATGACGCATTTCTACAGTCATCTTAGTCATTAAAGAGATGGAAGGTGGCTTGAAGACATCTCCTCAGCTAGGGTTTTCTATTGACAATGACGAAGCAATTTACATTTCTGGTCTCAGCACCATACTGGTGGCTACAATTCAGGAAGTGAAAGACAAGATTTCTCAAATGGAGTATATTTTCTGCAGCCAGCTCTATCCAAAGTTCCAGTCGAGATGTAAAAGTTTGCAGGGAAGTTTTGATCAAGGCAGGAGGGTTGCAGAAAATGAATGGAGAGATAAGGAAGACTGTCTGTTATGCCAGATAAAAGAGCTTTCTGAAAAGAACCAGGTGCTTGAACAAAACCAGCAGTTGATTGCTTCTCTCCAACAGCAATTGATGGATAGTGAAAAGCTATTAGAGGAGCACAAAACAGAGAGTAAACTGCTTATGGCCAAATTAAGCTTAGAGAAGAATGAGGAGGTCAATGAGCTCAGAAAAAAGACAGAGGAAAATGATGATGGGAGGGAGCTGCAAGAAAAAACATCTGTGATGGTGAATAATGAACAGATCTTGAATGAATATGAAAACAATGAGAAGCAGCTTCTGGCCAAAATTGATAATCTAGAGGAGAAAATTGAAGAGCTCCAGTACAAGCTCAGTCATAAGACTGAAGAAGCAGCTGAGGGAGAGGAACTGCTACATAAGTTACTCAAAAAGATTGAATCTGATACTTCAGTGGCAGTGAACAGAAATAAGTCGTTGATGGAACATGAAGAAAATAAAAAGGAGCTCCTGGCCAGAACACAAATTTTAGAAGGGAAGATTGATGAACTCCAATGCATGCTCAGACAGAAGACTGAAGAAATGGCTGAAGGAACAAAATTGCAAGAAAACTTACGTGCAATGGTTGAGTCAAAATCCAACGAGATGGTAAATCTCCAGACGCAACTAATAAATCTAGAGAAGAATGTTAAGGAGTTAACAGTGAAACTTGAACAGAAGACTGCAGAAGTAAGTGAAGGAAAGAAACTGCAAGAGAAGTTATTCCATCTGATTGAGTTAAAAACCTCCGAGGAATTAAATAATAAAAAATCATTAAGTGAGAATGAAAAAGAGAAGGAGTTGCTACTGATCAAGATAAAGAGTGTTGAGAAGAACATTGATGAACTTCAAAATGAGCTCAAAGAGAAGACAGAAGAAATAGTTAAGGGAAAGAAATTACAGGATTCATTGCGTGATGATGTTGCTCGGTACATGTACAATGCTTCAATAGAGGAGCGGAAAAGAAAACATTGGCTAAGTTCTTACAAACATTTGAAGTCTCAATACAATTTTCTTTGTAGAAGGCTTGATCTAACTGTGGAAAGCACGACCAACAACAGGGTGGAAGAGGAGACTGATTCATCAAAACTTCAAAACAAGCCAAGAACTTCAGAAGGCAAGAATATCTTATACTTATTTTTCTTATTCTCCAACTGTGACTGAAAAATGAACCCTTGATTCTTGAAAATACACCAGGTACTTCATTAGAAAGTTCTTAAATGAGTGGCTTTTTCAATTAAAATTACATTCCATTTAAGGATGCTTGCCTTAAATATAGAGCATCTCTTCAGGAAATAAGACAAATATACCAAATTTTAATGAAGTAAAGCTATGCACAAACTCATTCTCGGTGTTACTGCAGAGACCATAGTAACAATTCTTGTTTTGTCTTGTTTCACAGATCCTGAGAAGAAGGATCCAGACATTTCCAACCTTTCCAAGACAGATGAAGAGAATGATTCCAATGTCCAAGAAAAGTTGGTGGATGATGGGACAGTTAAATTGAATCAATGCTTAAACTCCTATCCCCCTTCTACTTCTGTTTCCTCTAACCCCCCAAAATATCCCATCAGCGAGCAATCCAAGCCACTAGTTGGCACAAAACGACCAGTTTCCTATTGGAGAAATACAAGGTCTCATCAGGAACCAGGTGGGCCAGATCCACATGATGATTTTCTTGACACTCCCATGGAGAAAGCTAAAGAAAACCTGAACAAGGCTATGAAGGAAAAAATCACTGATTTCTCAGTTCCAACTTCAAAAGACCCAGATCCTAATGTCTCAGATGATGAAACACAAGACATTGCTGTGAATCCAATCCCAGCTTCAAACTGCCAAGATCCTGATGACTCAAATAATGAACCACCAGTCATAAGAGTGGATCCTGCTCCAAGAAGGCGGAAAATATCAATTGCAAGGACTGAGTTAAAAAGTGTCAAGTATGTGGAGCCGGCAAGGAAGAAAGCTGAGAGGGAGAATCTTAAAGGAATTGAATGCAAACAGTGCAAGAAGTTCTATGATGCTGTTCTTCCTGATGATAGAGGTGCCTACAATGATAATAATAATAAACACAACTTTCGCTGTGAGCATCATGATGGTGTTTCAAGGCATCGGTACAGGTATCTTCCTCCTATGACCCCTGAAGGGTTTTGGAATATTGGATTTGATTCTGACATGTAAGCTTTTTTTAAATGCCTTGTTTTAGTGAATCAATCTGAATTCATTTTTAAATCCATTGCTATAGTCAGTCAATGTTTTAGAATCGACAAACACTTTTAGAATCTTATGGCTTGACTTGGAAATATAAAGATTTGATTCAAGTGAAGAGGCAAACTGAAGTTCTATCAAATCCAAAAGGAGCTTTTTCAAGTGAAAGTCCTTTAAACTTAATTTGGAGGTCATTACATAGGTTTTTCAGTTTCCTATCCAACAAAACCAAGATCTTGTCAATCAAATGTGTTTTGAAAAAGTTATGACCATTTAGTAATAGGGAAAAAGTCTATGATGCTATTAGAAAGCTTCAAATTTTCTATCTCTTTTGGAGCTGCCCTTTGTTTGTTTATTTTTAGGACCTAGTGTGCAACTTGGGCAGGTTGGTTGGGGTTTATTGCCAACTCTGGCCCAAACCTAAGATCTAGACCTTGGGTTGGTTCCCAGCCCATTCTGAGTTCAAAGCCTGAGTTTACCAACCTAAGCCCAATTTAGTAAACCCACACAACTTTGGCTGAGGTCAGGCAGGCTTTGTTAGTCCTGCATGGACTGAGAGAGAGTAAATGAAAATTTATTAAATGTAAAAAGAAGGATACAACCCAGAAGGTGACAAGATGGCACCAAACTTGCAAAACAAAACAGCTCTGAGTTGAACATCACAGACTGATACAAAACTGAGACAAAATACAACAATCTCTTCACCTATCTTCCTGAATACCCTCATATCCCAGAATATGATTAGCCCCCCTGAAAACCCTATAGCGTCCAACACCATCTACTCCCCACCATTCCTTCCCCATATCTCCTCCTTCAGGCCACATTGCATGATTCCAGCTATCCTGTAACAGAACTACCTTTGGATGGTAATTCCTCATCATTCTCCCTGAAACCCCTCACAATCCAGCTTACCACCCTCATCCTTCCTCCTCTAATTCAGCTCCTCCTAATACAATTTGACCTTTGCCCTCATATATCTTCTTCAAGCACCTCCTCTTTGTCCCCTTCCTCGTCCTTAGTGTTTTAAAAGCACAAGGGGCAATTTGTGCCTGAGGCGCAAGGTGCAAAGGTGAGGCACAAACCTTTTTGAACCAAGGCAAAAAAAAAAAGCAAAAAAATGTCAGAAAATTAGAAAAAGCCAAACTATTAAAAATGCAAAAGAATAAAAAAATTTAAACATACTATTAGTAAAAAATATAAACTTAAATGTTAAAATAAATGTTTTAAAAACCTATTATCTAAAATTAAAATACATAAACATAACATGTAAAGCGTATTCAAATGAAAAATTAAAACTAAAATCAAACATATAGCATTTTCAAGCATGTAAAACCCACAATCTCTTTTTTTCCTCAATTGCATTACTTAAGTAGCTAATGTGATGTAAAACATATTACATTCCTGTTTCTACAAGCCACCTTTGTACCATGCCCCTCGAGGCACGTCCAAACAAGTCCATCTTACACAACAATCCAGTTCTTGTACTCCTAACATGAGTGTCTATTAGTTTGTTTACTACTAGAACCCCATCCACCAACTGCTTTCCCTCAATAGAAGCACCTTGGAACTCCAAAATAACATAACCCACAACTGATTTGAGTCTTTTGGCTAACACTTTGGATAATATTTTATAAACACTACCAATAAGATTGATCGGCCTTAAATCCTTAAGTTCTTCAGCCCCCTTTTTTTCTTATGGATAAAAGAAATAAAAGTGGAGTTTAGGCTTCTTTCTAAAGTAGTAGAAGAATGAAACTCTGAGAAAACTGCCATTATATCCTCTTTTAGGAAACCCCAACACATTTTGAAAATCTTCATAGTGAAGCCGTCTGGGCCAGGAGCTTTATCACCTTCCATTTCATTTTTGCTTCCCATACCTCTTGTTTCGTAAACACCCTCTCTAAATTCCTCGTCCGTTTTTCTAACAAACTACTGAACTCCAGCCCATCCACCTTAGGTTTTCTCTTCCATTCTTCCTTGTAAAGTTTAGGCTGCATTTGCCATTCCTTATTTTAAGGACTTATCTCCTTTTTGCAGTAAAAATGCCCCTATAAACACCAAGTTTTTGACTTCAAAAAGGAGATGAGTCCTTAAAATAAGGAATGCCAAATGCAGCATGTGAATGATTTGATTAACACTAGTTCAGTCCTAGGTCTGGAGTAAGAAAGAAAGAAGAAGAAGAAGAGAAAGAAGAGAGGAGAGAAAGAAAGTGTTCGGCTAGAGAGAAAAGAAAGTCAATCACTCTCGGTCGACCCATCTTATATTTATACTTTGCATTAGAATACAAAAGACAACTCTGTCYCCCATTAAGTATGGGACACACAACTTAAACATAGACAAAATAGATAACTGATCTATAGATAACTCATCTTTAATTAAAAGGAAAAATGACCAAACTACCCTTGTATTGCCAACTCTTACACTCCCCCCTCAAGTTGGAGAGTATATATCATATAATCCCATCTTGTTACATATGTAATCCACTCTTCCCCGACTCAACCCTTCTGTAAACAAATTAGCCCACTAGTTTCTTGAACTCACATCTGTCGTACTTACCACTCCACTAATCACCTTTTCTCTTACAAAGTGGTAGTCAAGTTCAATATGCTTTGTTTTTTCATGAAAAACTGGATTAGAAGAGATGTGGATTGTGGTTTGGTTATCACAGTACAACTTCATAGGCCTGTTAATTAAGAACCCCATCTCTTGCAAAAGGTTTTTTAGCCACACTAGTTCACATGTAGTATGAGTAATGGCCCTGTATTCAGCTTCTTGCTACTACATTTCATTTCTTGTTCTTCCAAGTCACTAGATTGCCACCGAGGAAGGTACAATACCCTACCCAATCAGCATTTGTGTACCCTTTTATCTAAGAGTTCCTTCACTCTTGTATAACAGTCCACAACTTGGAGATCCCTTCAAGTATATAATAATCCTTAGAACTGCATCCAATGTACAACCTGGGGATGTTGCATAAACTGACTCACCACACTCACAGCAAATGATATATCTGGTTGAGTAATAGTCAAGTAGTTCAAGTTACCCACCAACCTCTTGTACCTCCAAGATCTTCAAATTCTTCACTTACATCAGTACTCAACATTTGGTTTTATAGGTATTTCATCCAGTTTGGCACCCAATAACCTTGTCTCTTCAAGAAAATCAAGGGCATACTTTCTTTGGCACAAGTTAATACCATGTCTTGATCTTGCAACTTCTATTCCCAAAAAATATTTCAGCTTACCAAGTCTTTCGTTTGGAAGTGATCATGTAGAACGGTCTTTAACTTATCAATCCCATTGCTATCACTACCAGTTATGACAATGTCATCAACATAAACCACTAACAAAATCTTTCCAGCCTCTGATTCATAGATGAACACAAAATGGTTTACTTGGCACTGTTTCATGCTAAAGTCCCTCACTACTTCATTGAATTTGTTAAACTACGTATGTGGAGATTATTTCAACCCATGAATTGCCTTCCTAAGTTTGCAAATTTTACCATCTTCCCCCTGAGCAACAAACCTTGGTGGTTGCTCCATATATACCTCCTCAAGAAGATCACCATGTAAGTAAGCATTTTTAATGTCAAGTTGAAAGAGGGGCCAATCATACATTGCTGCAAAAGAAATCAACACCCGAACTAAGCCAATCTTAGCCATAGTAGAGAATGTCTCCATATAGTCAACACCATACAATTGAGAGTAGCCTTTTGCTACTAACCGAGCTTTCAACCATTCAACGTTATCATCTAGAAGATATTTTATTGTGTATACCCACTTACATCCAACGACATGCTTATCAAGAGGGAGAGTGGTAAGCTCCCATGTGTGATTGTGTGGCAGTGCAGACAATTTCTTTTCCATTGCTTGTTGCCACCTTGGAGAGGCAATGGTTTCCTAGAGGACTTAGACATTCTTAGGAATGGAAACGGAGGATAACAGAGATATAAACTGTTGATGAAAAGCAGAAAGGTGAGTAATAGAAACATAATGGGAAATAGGATGAGATGTACAACTACGTTTACCTTTGCGCAATGCAATGGGAAAATCAAGGTTAGAAGGAGGCACAACTACTGGATCCGTCGACGAGGAATGAATTGGAGGAGCCGATGCTCTTTTGTGAGTATACACTTGTGTGATTGGTGGTCTTTCAATATTAACCTGTATTGGAGAAGATGATGACTGAGACACAACATGAACTATAGGAATGAGGTCTTCAATTGGAATTGGAAGTGGAAACACAGGAGGAGGAACGTCAGAACTAGAAAATAATGGAGCAAATTCAAAGAAAGTAACATCAGAACACATAAATGCATGATGATAGTTGTGGTTGTAACACTTATACCCTCTTTGGGTTTTGAAATAGTCAAGAAAGATGCATTTTGTAGCACATGCAACTAACTTATTTAGCCTAGGCCCTAGATTATGAATAGACCTGTTCATGGGCCAGGCTCGGGCTTGGCTTTTGCCAAAATTTGAATGGGCCTGGCCCGAAGCCTGGACCCGATGCAGTGTAAAGTTAAGCCTGAAGCTCGACTCGTGAACATGTCTAATTATGAACAAAACAGACACAACCAAAAACTTTGGGAGTAAGAGGAAATGGAGATAGAGTAAGAAACAAATATGAGAAAGGTGATTGACTTCCAAGGATAGACATGGGCATTCGATTGATGAGAAAACATGATGCAAGAAGACTAAATTGCTACTTTTGTACCATCACCATCAAGGTAATACAATCCACTTGCTTTATGCCCTCCTCCAATCTTCATTGTTTTGAGATCCTGAAACACAAGAAGAGGGGTAAAAGGTTATGGAATAATTAAGAGATTTAGTCAATCTACCAATAGACATGAGGTTAAAAGGAAATTTGGGTATGCATTAGACAAAGGATAAAGATAAAGATGTGAG